CCCTCAGCAGAGTGCTGGTACATTGTCTGGGTGCCCATGGGGGCGGGGGTGCTCAGAGCAGTTTGCCCACAGTGGGCTTCCTTCTGTTCTGGGTGGAGACGCCTGTCCCTATTCCTCTCAGGAGCTGGGAGCCTGTCCCAGGACCGGGCCTTCATACTCACATTCTCACCCCAAAGGGCCTTTCCTGTCCAAAGCTTGAGGCTGAAATTAACATCAACAAATTCCAACCTTCTCAACTCTAACCAAGCAGGCTCAGGGTGTGCCTCCTCCAGGCAGCCTTTCTATGCTCACTGAGCTCTTAGAATTGGTTTGATTTCTTTAAGAGGATCCCTTAGTTTTAGAGGGAGCGAAAACTCTCCATCCCCACATTCCCCCCAATAACCACATAATTCCTCTTGTACCGTTATCAGGTCCTGAGCCCATCAGTGCTTTTTATAGGGACTCCTAGGCTGGACTTCATTGATCCCCGTGTGTCTACAGCACCATCCCATCCACCCACCCTTCCTTGTGAGTCTGGTGTGTTGGACAGGGTACCACTGGGTAAGCATGGATGCTTTGGGGTCCCCTATTGCCTTGGGGTGGCACCATAGTGGACATGGGGAGCCTCCACTCGGGCTGCAAAGCTGACTCTTGTTTCTGCTGAGTCCCACAGTGGTGGGAGGCGAGGGGCACCATGGAGGGAAGCTGGAACCAGTGTTCGCTAGAAGCAAGTGGGAACAGACACACAGGCCGCCCTGAGCATTGTCCCTGGCTCAGAGCAGGAGCAGGCTGCCTTACCCCTCACTTGTCTTTTTGACACTGCTGGAATGGGACTTCCTGAGGGATGACACAGTGCAGAGGGAGAGCTGAGTTTGTCTTTTCAGATGGCCTAGAGCTGACACCAACACTTGGCTCCACCAGGTAGACAGATTCCCTCCAAGCCTCACTTTGTCCATCTGCAAAATGGGACAGTGATCCTCGTGGGTGGCCTGGGTGAGAATCAGGGTAGGAGGCATTCCCAGACAGCCAGGGGAGCTTCAGTGTTTTCTTTCTCTTCATACAGATAGGAAATGTGGTCTAGTTTGGCTGTATATGCAGGTAGCACACACACACATAGGTACACATGGATGCACATACACAGGGATGCAGTCAGATACCCCTGCCCTGTCCTTTGCTGGCAGTGCTCGAGAGAGGAGCAGGAACCAGGAACCAGGACCGAGGAGTGGACAGAACCCTGAGCTGGCAGCCAATAGACCTGGGTATAGGAGCCAGAGGGATAAAGTCCCTTGGTGGACCTCCTTTCTATAAATAACCAAGACCTCTCAAATAAGGGGCGGGGGGGGGGGGCGGGAAGATGAGTGGTCTGTTGTACTTTGTCCTTGCTAGTCTAGCAGACTGTCACTTTCCAGGCTGACCAGAAATATCCAGGAGCTGCCAAGCAGACAGGCTCCCAGGGCATAGACTGTCCTATGCCTAGGAACAGTCACCTATCCGTCTGATGGACTCAACCCTTTCCTTTTGCTCCTGCAGGAAGGCATAGCCATAGCTGGAGTAGCTGGGGGTTCCTGCCACAGAAACACATTGGGTCTGGATTCTTCTGGCTCCAAGGCTGCAGGGCACCCTGCTTTGTGAGAGTCCTGGCAAGGGGTTAGGTGAACTCTGAGTATCCCCCAGCCCTTTTTGTGGCATGTGTTCTCTGGGGCTGAAGTCTCCCATGTCCAGTTCATAGCCCCAACAGACACTTAAGAGCCTCACCTGGCATGCAAAAGGTGTTTCGTAATAAATACTAAACAAGCAAGTGAATAAGTAAAAGAATGTTGGAGCTAGATATAGTTCTCGGCCCCGGAAAGTTACCCAAGGAACCACCCTGCAGTGGTTTGGAGTATGAAGGATGCATCGCCCCTTCTCACTAGGTGTGATTCTGTCCTGGCTTGGGTGCTTCAGGGAGCCCTCTGCACCTAACAGGATGCCTTGAGTTTCACTCCAGGCTTGAGGACTGCAGTTCAGGCCTCTATGTGGTCAGCAGACTTCAGGGAGGCTCTTCCACAGAGATCAAGTTTATCTTTTCAAGGTCAAGGTTCTTCCTCCTGGGCCTCTGCTTTTCACTCTTGTGCCTTTGGGGTTGATAAGGAAAGCTACTCCCTCCCCCTTTACAGTAAACAGGCCCCTTCCCCCAGTGTTTGGGCTCCCTGCATTCCTGGCAGAGTCTCACTGAATCTTGGGCTTATTCCCTCACCTGGGAAAAGGTGACTAATGGCTGGTCTAGAGTGAGCAGACCTAAGTATACCCCACAGAGGGGCTGTGTACAGTATGAGGTGGGGAGGGGCAGGAACTACTCCATAGTGTGGGGTAGGTTTGGACCCAACTTGGTGTTCTTATGGGGGTGACCTGGCCCCACCGTGTCAGAATGGCTTCTGCGTGAGCCCTAGAATGATGTAATGGACTTGAGCTCAGAGAGACTCTTCCCTATCCACTACAGATGGAATTCCCACAAGAGGAACTTGTCTCCCCACAGAGTCTGGGTCCCTCCCATGGTTGCTGGGAGATGGAGTGACCTGGAGGAGAGCTGTGGTATTGGCCAGGAGCAGGGAGGTCCATTGTTCCTGCCAGGGTCAGGAATTGGTGCACAGAGCTGGAGGAAGGCACTGGCTGGCCCTTCACAACCAGGACAGGCCTCATCAGAGTGTCAGCTCGTGGTATTCACACCTCTGCCATCACCCCCAGGCTGAGACAGCAGCACCTGTGTATCTTGGCTGGCCAGCCCCTCTGGGGCAGATGGCTCTGGCTGAGCCCAGGTGGCCTGGCTGGCACTCCAGCACCCACACTGCCCTGCCTATTAGCTTTTGCATTCCTCGGGGGTGAGCTCAGCTGCTGTGCTAAGGAAGTGAAACCTCTCAGCTCTCTGTGTCACACAGGGGGTATGACAGGTGCCTGGGTGGCTCCTGGCATTTCTCCTGACATTCGGATGTTATGGAGATCAGAGGACTGATCCCTGGCTGAGCCCTGGGGGCTGTGGTCCTGGAGCCAAGCTCTCCGGGATCTTGTGAACAAGGGGTCCATTCTCAGACCAGTGTCAGTCATGAGAAGTAAGAAGGATCTCATGCTGCAGTCAGTACATACATACATGCAGCCACCCAAACATGCATATACACATGTGAACACACAAGCACATCCTACCATTCCTGGGTCCAGAGGGCAGTTAGAATGCACTGCTGAGAGCTAAACATGTCTACCCCAGATGGTGTGCAGAACAGGAAACAGCCCTGGCTGGAGACTCCCTCCTCCCTCATCCTCTTTTTTAGTGTCTGTTTTTTGAGATAGTGTCTCACTGTGTAGCCCAGGCTGGCCTCGAAGTCAAGACCCTCCTGCATCTGCCTCCCAAGTGCTGGGATTACAGGTGTCGGCCCAGCCTTGCTTCTCTTCTTATTCAGAGGGTTGAGCAGCCTCCTGAGTTTCCTCCCAGCTTGCACCCAGGTCCTTGGCTAAAGGCTGTGCAGCCAGAGGGGACCTTTTCGATGTGGTCCACTTGGCTCTGCCCAGACCCTCCCCAGCTTCCTATCCTACCTCTGGGACCTCACCACCCTCACTTTCTCTCCTGTCACCTCCTGCACTTGCTCTGGTTTGGGTCCTTTGCACTGCTCAGGCCTGGCTGTCAACTCTCCTATGGCCGTGACCATGTCCCTACCTGTGTCCTGCTCTGCCACTGACTCCTCCATTCCCACATCTACCAGAGCCCCTTCCTGCCTTTCCTCCAGAGAGGCTGGCTCTGTGGAATGGAACTTTGTCCAGCTGGGTAGCTAATGCATCCCTACCTGCACATGGGTTCTGGGATAGCAAGAGCAGGTGCCCATACCATGCTGTATCCAGAAAGACAGGGCCACCAGCCCTGTGGACTTGGATGAGCAGTGTTACTGTCTGAAGTTCCCAGCCCTGGAAAGCCTCAAAAGCTGGGAGCACTCTTGAGAGGGACCAGTGAGTCCAGGCCACACATCAGAACTCAAGTCCTCATCCCCCAAGAGCATGGGTCTGATGCCCTGTCATGCCTCATGTCAAGCAGATGGAGCTCATCTCAAATAGTAGGTTTTGTGGAGTCAGGTCCCACGGTGGGCACTGCCATCAGTGTCCTTAAATGCACGTCTCATCTGCTGCGCTTGTTCCGCAGCCTAGGGTAGGAGTTGGGATGGGTTTGGCCTCACAAACCCACAGGTTGGGGTAGGTGGGTGGGGGCTCCACTGTCTCTCTCTTGTCTGTGGCAGAGCCAGGCGGCTTCCCTCCCTGATATCCTCAGGAAGGATCAGCTCACAGCAGGACAAACGACCGGAAGGCTGAGGACATGGCTGAGACAGGTTTTCTTTCAAGTTCCTCCCAGGGTCCTCCCTGGCTGGGGCTGGCTGTTGACAGTGGTGCATATTATGCTGGTAGAATTCTCACTTGGCTGCTGTTTGTGTGTGCCTGTTTTTACGCCTTGTAATTAAAACATTTATTTGGCCTTCCCGTGAAAATCTAATTTCTTGAGTCTAAGAACTGCCGATATTGGCACGGAGATAGTAGTCCAGAGCAAACAGCTCCAGAGCCTGGTGGATTATTCATGGCGTGGTGTTTGCAAATCAGGCTGTGGATGGCCTCTAATCAGAGCTGATGTTGGTAATTGATGTGTTGAGTTAGGGTTTTGGCATGGGGGGCGTTGCTGAGCATTTGTGTGTGGCTAGCGGGTGGCCTCCCTCTGGCTGCCCTGCCAGCTGCGTAGGCAACTCGGCACCCATGCAACCAGATGCCAGCCATGCGCTGCACAGCCCGGCCTTGCGAGGCCCCCCATTGCTCTGCAGATAACCTTTCGCATTTGGGGTGCATGTACATCCCTATGAAATGGATATAGCCCCTGTGGTCACTTGCTCAAGGACACTTGCAGGGGGCAGAGCTGGGATTTGAACTTGGGAAGCCAAGAGGTGATGCCCGTCCTGGACTTGCTGCACAGGCACGGTGGATAGTGTGGTGATGCCCCTCTCTCTCCTCTCTTCCAGACCATCATGGAGCAGTTCAACCCCAGCCTCCGCAACTTCATTGCCATGGGGAAGAACTACGAGAAAGCCCTCGCAGGTAAAGCTGGCCCAGCCATGGCACCCCCGTCCCTTGATTTAAGAGGGACTCTGCCCAGCCCCTGGGCTGTGGGTAGAGGCCACAGGTGTCTTTTGTTGCAGAAACAGAACCCCATGAGCTAAGTGGGGGTGTGGGTGCCTGTGAGCTCTGAATGTGTCCCTGCTGTCACAGTGACTATGCATCCTCATGCAGACTGCTCTTGTCTTGCGACTGTGGTGACAAGTAGGTGCCCATCTAAGGACGGGGGTATGAACATCTGTCTTCCAGAATCATCTGGAAACTGTAGGATTGGAGTAGGTTCCACAGCAGGCTTAGGTATGGGGCCTGTGGCCTCTCCCGGTTATGTGGATGCCCTATAGCTCCTGTGGATCCTGGCTGTGGGTGGCAGTGCTGGACCATTGGGCTCACAGGCTTCCTGAGAGCCCTCTCCCCCTGCCCAGTTCAGGGAAGCTGCTATGCCCACCATCGTTGGCTTCAGGTGCATCTGGTGTTTCTGCCCTGGTGGGACTGAGTCATGCTGTTTGGTTTGAGTCCCTCACTTCCTGGGCCCTGACCCTGGGTCTCCCTGCTCCCTTGACTATGTCTGTTAGGCAGGACTTGGGCTGTCACTAGCTGCAACGTCTTTATGATTTTTTTTTTTTTAATGTACTGGGGTTTGAGCTCAGGGCATACACCTTGAGCCACTCCACCAGCCCTTTTTTATGATGGGTTTTTTTTTTTTGAGATAGGGTCTTGTGAACTATTTGCCTGGCTGCTTCAATCCTCCTGATCTCTGCCTCCTGAGTAGCTAGGATTACAAGGAGTGCCCAGCTTGTTTTTTATTATTATTATTATTTAAATTTTATTTAAAAAATTTTTTACATTCCTATGATACTAAGGATTCAACCCAGGGCCTCAAGCATGCTAGGCAAGTGCTTGACCACTTGAGTCACACCCCAACCCATTTTTTTTTTTTATATGGTTTCACTGTAGAGCCCAGGCTGACCTCGAACTCTGGATCCTCCTGCCTCATCCTGCTGAGTGCTGAAATCACAGATGCATGCCATAACTCCCAGCTAACTGCAGCATCTTTATAAGTGAACCACCTTCTGCCCCCTGCAGGGAGGTCATTGTGTGTGTCCAAACACTCACTGCTTTCCTACCCTCTCCATAACTTGTTTGTGTAGTGGCCCCCATGTGTGGGGTGAAGTTTTGTCCAGTTTTGGGCTTCGAGTTAGAGGCAGTAAGGAGAGGGCTAGAGTTGATTAGCTTGTTCTTTTCTCCACCGTTTTCTGTGATCTCTTGGGACCAGAGCTCCTGACTGAGCCCTGGGCCTGTTCCTGACTGTAGCCTCTTGTCTGTCATCTCTCCAGGTGGGGTTGTCCACTCTCCAGCCACTGCCATGCCCACCTGATCACCCATCATGTCCAGTGTGGGAGCAGAGGGTCTTCCCACCTCTGAGGTGCAGGTCTACCAGGTCTCCTGCATGCCTTCTGCCCCTGAGTTCTCAGACCTTGGTTCTTACTTTTGATGGACTGATATGGGTGGGACTGACCCTGTTGGAGTGGCCTCTTTGGGACTGCAGGGGGAGAGGATTCCACAGTCCCCATCTGTTGGAGCCCACTGCATTCACCCACAGCCTCTGGGGTGGCTTTTGTATTCTCTGTGGGCGTGAAGAAGATGAGGCACCTTCACACTGCCCTCTGTTTGCAACATGCACAAAAATGGTTCTGCAGCCAGTGTGCTACACAAGTCCCTGGTTGATACCCCAGGGAAGGCTGCATTCATCCCCACCCTCCCCTCTCTGTAGCCCTAAGCTCAGCAATGCAGCCCAGGGACCTGTGGGGTCTCAGAGCATAGAAAGGCTACCTACCTGCTTTCTGCATGGGGATTCTGTCCCTTGGGAATTGTCTTAAGTAGCTATCCCCCTCAGGCAGCAGAGAGCCAGCCTGCATGGGCTTCATGACACTGCAGATCCTAGGTTGTGCCAATGGCACCACCATCCAGGAGGAGCTCCTTGGGTTTGGTGTGCAAGTGGTGACAGTGTCGTTGCCCTCGTGGGAGAAGCTGTGTCTGTTGGCAACCCTGAAGTGATGCCTTGCTCACTTCTCATGTGGCCTAAGAAGAGCTGGCTTTGCCTCTCTCTGGATGCTGGAAGAGGCCTCTGAATGGAAGCAGGAAGGGGAGGTACAGCCCCAGATCTGGGTAAAGAAGGCTTCTGCCCTAGGCAACCCTGTTATCTCCAGTTACGTTGTGATCAGATTCTCCAAGCAAAACTGATTTCCAGGCCCTTTGAATGTGGCCAGTATTTTGCCTGCTCCTAGGCCAATCTGTGTGCACCACTACAGGAATTAGAAGTTCCAGGTTGGCTCCCCTCGCAGAGATGAGGACCAGTGATGCCTCCTTTCAAAGCCACCATTTGAGGGGCAATTGGTGACCTATAAACAATGAAGGATTCTCTCTTCCCTTGCGTGGCTCTCCCTGGGGTCAGTGGAATTTTGTTTCCAGGTGTCCTGCATTCCAGATCTGGTGGAGGCTGGGGCTTGCCATCTCCTCCTCTTTGATTTGTGCCCTCCAGCTCTTTGATGCTCTGACAAGGGTTTCCTTTCAGGCCTTTCCGCCTCCCCTGTGGCTCCTCACGTGATTGTCATGGTTGTGTTTGGACAATCAGGAGGGTTACTTCCTCTTCCTGTTTTCTTTGATTGTCTCATGGAGGATTGAGCTCAGACATCCAAGCTACCAACACTAACTTCTGTTCTTTTGCTTTTCTTTCACTTATTTTAAGAAGCCCACCCCTCCTAGGCAGTAAGCAGAAGCTCTTCGGTCCTCTGGGGGGTGCAGTCTTGTGCCGCAGAACAAATTGTGTGTACTTAATTGAAAACTGTATAAATAAATTTGATCAAGTGCCCGGTTATGAGCCCCTAACTGGGTTCTGTAGAAAACAGATTAGAAATTGTAATTATGCCTCTGGAGGCTGCTCCCTGAGGCCCTGCTCTCCAGGCGTGCCTGCCTCGTCCTTCTGCAGCCTGAAGGGCAGGAAGGTAGGGCCCCTCCCTGGACGCAGGAGTTTGCTAGACACCCCAAGAGTTTGAGAGGATCCCACAAGACATGGGAGCAGCCCACACCTAGCTGCTCTTTGCACTGGGCTCTCCTAGACAGCAGCTTCTGGGTTGGCATGGGGAAGAATGAGCAGGCACTGAGCTTCCCACACCCGGATCACAGGTGCCTCTGACTTGCTTCGCTGCAGCAGGCCAGGCTGTGCCTTTAGTCTGTTTTTGTGCCATGGCACCTATTCCCACGAACAGTGGTTCCCTCTCTTCGAGTTTGGTTTGGGATGTGTGGTAAATCAGTGGCTTCCTGCGTTCTGTGTTTACGGGGTTCTTACTCAGGGTCAGTTCTTTGTTTCCTGAAGCGTACTTGAAGCAGTGCTCCCTCCCCCTTGTCAAACAGCACGTGACAGGGCTCCATGCTCTGTGGTGTGACTTGAATAGCTCTGGACCTGCACGGTACACTGTGTTCTTACAAATAAAAGGAGCCCACATGATGGAACGAAATAATATCAACAAAAAAGAGGGTAACAGCCAACCAGAAATGAAGTCAAGTGCTCCTTGCTTGTGTGTGTAGGGGTGGCCTCAGCTGTACGCCAGGTTGCTGTGGATCCTGTCCCATCCCTGTGATGGAAGTAACCACTCTCTCTTCTTCTCTCTCAGGTGTGACCTTCGCTGCCAAAGGCTATTTTGATGCCCTGGTGAAGATGGGGGAGCTAGCCAGTGAAAGCCAGGGCTCCAAGGAACTTGGTAAGACCCTCAGATGGACAGAAAGCCCCACGTCTCAGATGTACCCAGGCGGGGCTGGGCGCTGTCTTGTCATAGTCCTTCTGTTTGGAATCAGGTTTTACCTACATAAGTTTTTAAATGACAATAACCATCTGAGCTGGTAAGTGGTACCCGTGGCTGAAAGTAGGGTGCTTGGTAGCCTTGGGTGCTGCTTAGAGCTCACACTTGTGCGCTGTCTCCTCTGAAGAGCATGACTCAGGGATGAAGAGAGGCAGGCAAAACCACGTTTAATGGTGTTCAGGACATAGCTGAGTGGCAGACAGGGGAGACTGGTATGGGAAGTTAGACTGCAGTGATAGTGTTGACTGATGTGCTGAATGGATCCTGGAGTGAAAATGTGTGAAAAGGATGCAAACCCATGGATGGTGGCCATCTATTTTGCTTAAATGTGTCACATGTACACATACCCCACAGTAAAGGAGGAGACCCGGAAGCCTTAACAGGTAGAATTCCTAGGTGAATTGTTACTTCTTTTTGCTTTCCTATGGTTTTCAAGTGTTCTACAAAGAGTTCATATTACTAAGATCATCACGGGACACAAATGTGGAAGTCATGTTTCCATGGTCCTATTGATGGAGGGCGAGATATCATGTGGTTTGAGATTTCTGTTCCATCACAGGGATGCTGGGTCCGTGGCACACACCTGCGGCGGCCCAGCCTGCATTCATTTGCAACTCTCTGGTGGGCTGTGTTCAGCAGGCTGGCCTTGGGTCGCTGATAAAACCACTTGGATTCTTCCAGCCTCCAGGCACAGAGGACATGCTTTTGTTCTCTATGTCTGCAAAATCTGACATTCTAGGAGATGGTCCTCACCATGTGCAGCCAGCAAGGCCACTAGGCAGAGACACTCAGATGGAAGTCAATGAATGTGACATGTCAGGGTCAGGCTGGTGCTCTTCTCCTCTGTTCTGTTTCACTTCGGGAGTTGGTGGCTCCTTTCGCTAAAGGATCATATTGGCAGGTGGAGTGCTGAGTTTCTTTCTGTGTCCAACTCCCAGAAGCAGCCTCTGTCTGCACCCACTGTGGCTTGTGGGCAGAGATCCTGTACACACAGCTCTGCCTGCTCCCACATCTACTGTACCTCCTGACAGAAGTCAGGCTGTGGATGACAGGACTTTGCAGTCATCTCTACCACCCCCTCATTTGAGGACACCAAGGTCTACTGGGGTGTTTCTCTGGTCTCATGATTCCTGTGATCTTGAAATCACACGAGACTGCTGTGTTGACTGATAGAACCATGGGCAGAGGGGACCAGGCTGCTCATGGACATGACCTGTCTTAGTGGGATATCAGGGTGAGAAGTCCTCAGACAGTGGGCCAAGCTCATGTAGATGGTAGCTGTTGGCCATGTCACTCTCACCATTGCTGATGGCTCTAGAGAGAACCTCTTACTGTGCTGACTGGGATCCTAGAGCATCTGAGCCAGAGTCTGGGTCTGTAAAGTTTGGAGAAGGTACCCTCCCTTGCAGCCTGGCCTTCCCGGTGTATATCTGTGAAAGAGGCACTTTCTTGTCCTGTGCAAATTACCAGGTACCTTTTCCCTGTGCTATCATGAGGAAGTGAGGGTCTGCCCAAGAGAAATCCAGACCCTGGTGACCCTGCAGTGAGAGGTAGGTATGCCCAAGACCCTAGAGAAATTCTAGAACTTCCTGCTGGAGGGTTCTTGGGGTCTGTGAGGAACTGCAGGGCCAGGTGGGTAGCAGGGAAATGGGGCTTAATGGCTCCAACTTGAATCAGGAAGCTGCTCTGTGTGTGTGTGTGTGTGTGTGTGTGTGTGTGTGTGTGTGTGTGTGTGTGTAGGGGGTCAGGGCTGGTTTTTTTTTTTAAACGGTACTGGAATTTGAACTCACGGCCTTGCGATTGCTAAGCAGGCACTTCACCACCTGAGCCACACAGTCAATCCTTTTTGCTTTAGGTAATTTTCAAATTGGGTTTCACCATTTATGCCAAGACTGGCCTAAACCACAAATCCTCCTATTTACACTTCTTGCATAACTGGGATGACAGGTGTGTGCACCACACCCAGCTCTTATTGATTGAGATGGAGTTTTGAGAACTTTTGCCTGGGCTGGCCTGGAACCATGATCCTCCCAATCTGTGCTTCCTGAGTAACTAGGATTATAGGCATGAGCCACTGTGCCTGTCTTGTGTGGGTTTTTGAAATCTCTCTGGCGGTGATGTGAATAGTGGAGTTCCCTACTGTGTGAGATCATAGAGATGGCCAGCCAAATGCCAGTCTTGCTGAATTTTTTTTCCTTTCGGTAACAACTTTTGGAAACTCATATGCCATACAGCTCATTAATTTACAGTGGACAGTTCAGTGGGTTTTGGTATATTCTCAGAGATTGCAACCTTATCTGTATCTTGCTCCAAGTTTTTTTTTAATCACCTAAAAAAAAAGAAACCCATCCCCATTCAGTTCTCATCTATTCCCCAGGGGCCCATCAGCCCCTGGCAACCACTGATCTGTGTTCTGTCTCCATGGATTTGCCCATTCTGGATGTTTCCCGAGACAGAATCATATATAAGCATATGACCTCGTGTGTATGGCTTCTTTCACGCAGCATGTTTTCAAGGCTCGCCTGTGTGGGCGTCTGTGTCAGAACTTCTTTCCTGGTTATGGCCAAATAATGGTCCACTGTGTGATGGTCAAACAGAATGTGGTCCATTCTGTTAATTCCACTTTGTGGCTGCAAGGAGAAAGTATCTGTCATATGCTTGGGAGTGGAATTGCTGGGTCAAATGGCTGGGAGTTAGAATTTTTATTAAAGCAACACAACTTTGATTTAAAAATAAGCCCTTTTAAGCCAGGTGCCCTTGACCCACGCATGTAATTCTAGCTACTCAAAAGGCAGAGATCAGGAGGATGGCAGTTCGAAGCCATCCTAGGTTCACGAGACGCTATCTTGAAAAATACCCAACCAAAAAATTGCTGGCGGAGTGGCTCAAGTGATAGAGTGCCAGCCTAGTAAGTGTGAGGCCCCGAGTTCAAACCCCAGTACCACCTCTCTTGCTGCCCAGGACCTGCTTCTCAGAGGCAGCTGCCCTTAGTTTGATGGTGTTCTTACTATTTGCTTCTGTATATCTAAAAGACAGGTTTAGCCTTTCTTGGTTTTTTTTTTAACTGTAGACATTGTCTAATGAACTGTTAAGATGCACTTAGCTTTTTATGCTGTCCTCCTTGCCCTGAACAATATAATACCATAATTTTTGCTGAAGTTCATGTAATACTTTACTGAATGATGACACAAATCCTTTCTGCATGGTTTATTGTGATTACTTGCTTTTACTGTTTTATTGAAGAATAATTGAGGCACCATAAAGCCGCACATATCTGAGTGTAGGCTGAAGAGTTTTGGCATGTGCATATAACTGTTGCCATAATCAAGATGGCACACCTGTCCGCTTCTCCCAAAGCCCTGGGGCCCCTCCCTCCTGGCCCAGTCCCATCTCCAGGCACCCACAATCTGCGTTCTTCCCTTCCTCCTCCAGGGCCTTGACTACTGCTTGAGCCATGCCCCAGGCACTGACTGCTCTCTTGTTCTGTGACTTAGTGTGTTTCAAGGTTGATGTAAATGGAGTCAGTCAGTATGCATCCTTCTTCCTGGGGTCTGCATGCTTGTGGTTTGAGTCATTGGGTCATCGGGTTTGCTGCATGGATGTGCCACACCTTGTTTCTACCTTGCCTGTTGATGGCTGTTTGAGATGTTTTAAAACTTGCATTTCCCTCGTTCATTCGGCAGAGCTGCGGAGCGTCTTCTCACTCCTTTGCCACATGTTTTCAGTGAAATGTCAGTTCACGTCTTTCCCCCTTTACTTTATTTGGGTCTTGGTTTTATTGCTGATTTATACAAGCTCTTTGTATATTCTAGTAGAAGTATTGTGTCAGATGTATATTTTGCAAATGTTCCCTCTCAATCTGCTTGGCCTTTCATTTTTTATAACAGTTTTATTTATTTTCCGGTACTGGGAATGGAACCCAGGGTGACAGGCAAGCACTCTACCACTGAGCCACACACAGTTCAACAGTGTTTTTAGGGGAAAAAAAAGAATTTCAATTTAGTGCAGTCCTATTGGTTGATTGTTTTTCTTTTTTTTTTTTTTTGGAGGGGGTGGAGGTAAGACAGTACAAAGATTTTTGTTACCACTCTGTGATTTTAGTTATAGCAAACAGATTTTTGTTACAAATAGATTTTTGTTATGACTTTATAACTTTTGGTACTGCAACTTTGTTTTCTCTAGAACTTCTAAGGGTCTCCATTTGCTGTGTTTTGAGTTTTGCAGACTGTGCTCTTGGACTCATTGTTGCCATCCACTATCTGAGTTCATCTGTCTCTGTGGTTTTTTTCTTCTCCTTTTGGAGGACATCCTCTAGCTCCAGTCCTCTGGGCTGCTTGGCTGTGCATAGGGACACCTTCCTGG